AGACTAGATAAAATAGTTTATACTCAGATCAGGTTTTCTGTAGGTAGAATTGTGTCTACAGTTTGATTTCAATTTAAAAATTAGCAATTATAATCGACAGGATTTTATTCTAAGCTCTTAATTTTTAGTTAGCATTTCCTATTCCAGAAACAAAGCTAAAACCCCCCCACATTTCAAATATCCAAAGAAGGTTCATCTCATTGGATACTGTTTACTTTTTTCCATGAATCTGACAGAAGATGATACAAATGACAACATACTCCCTTTCTCTACTGGCCACAGAAATTTGTTTTTCTCCTTCAAGACAGCTAAAATAAATCCTGTCACTATGAACCTTCGTATATATACAACCACTTCTTATCTGTCAGCAGGAAGATTACTGAAAATCAGGAGCTTGACAGATTTCTGGTGTTTATAACCTCATTTCCTAATGGCATCATCCCCAGTTAAACGCAAGCTACGCACTGTCAATGTTTGTTTAACAGTCACTGCCAAAGTGTCACAGTTTCTAATTCAGCAGGTGGATGACAACCATGCTCCAAAGCCCATGCAGGCTGGAGGAATTCCTGCGAGTACTTCCTGACAGGACTTCCACTTAGCCAAGTAAACTCCCAAAGGAGACTTTTGTATTAGCTAATGGGCCAGTAACAAGGATTCCAAGTTGCTGTTTTCCACTAAACAGCAGCTAGAGATTTTTGGAACATTTAGGTGCTTGCGTTTTAGCTCACGGCTTCGTTTTGCATTGTGATAGGAATGAAGAACTCCTAACAACTCAGAAGTTCGTCCAAGAGTGCTACCCACAGCGTATGACATGCCACATACCGCGTGAGGGAAATACCTACAACGCTTTAAATGACAATAGAGCTAAGGTAGCTGGACTAATTTACAGGATTCTCCATTAATATTAAACATGCATATCATATAATGAAATATTTTATATGGTTCTATATTTAATGCTTTGTATTAAAGGGATAATTCATTCCTTCCTCGCAAAAAGAAATTAAAATAAAAAATGTAATATCTGCATATAAAAAAGGAACTAAGATGGAAAATAAAAACATTAAGGACTATTCTGAGGATTAATCTGTCAACTGTATTGCAAAGCACTTCAAAATCCTCAAATGGAAAGCCTGACAGAAATGCTATGTATTATTCCCATATGTACTATGTTAAGTTACAGATAAGCTTTTATTCTTATATTTTCTACTCCTCACAGTAGCTTGTAAGACACTTCAGTAATGTACTAAACTATCCAACTAATATTCATCATATGCTGTTCTGGGCATCATTTGTTAACCAGGGACAGACGCTGCCCAGTGCTTCATTCTGTTACCATTTTAAAAGGAATAAATTATCCTATTAATTCTGTAACATGAATTCTAACTAAAAGGTAACTAAAGAGAACAGGAAATTTGCAGGTAAAAGTATTTTCTACACTTATTCTATTACTGCATATTTTATTTCATGCACAAGCACACAGGAAAAATTAGACTATTTCATGAAGAAATAATTAATAAGAACAGCAGCCCTGATGCTTCGATGTGTCTGCACCAAAAAAGAGTTAATTTGAAAATGCTTATACAACATATCCAACTACTCAATGATAACAAGCTACGTTTTACTCATTTATCAGGCATACCTCTCTTTACTGAACAGTAAAGTACTTCTAAAATTATGAATTTACTGAAAAACCAGAGACACTAGAACGTTTTACAGCTAGTTTCTGAGAGCTGGGCCGTAGCACTTTAACTACTGCACCGTTCATTTTAGTAGAAGTCACAGGGTGACAAGGCAGAGAAACTTGAAAGACCACCAGAGTTCACCTCCATACTCCAAATACTCCTATCATTCAGTACAAGCTGATATCTACAGCCTGCTTCTTACCTGGACATCCCAACACCATAGATATAAGAAAAATAAACTATTTGGTGCAGCACAGAAGCATCCTAGCCGAGACAGTTTCCTTACTATACAAAAACTAGGAAGGCAAGAATAACATACAACCCTTCCCATGAAGAGCACTGTCTTCTCACTGTCTGAAGCCACAGGTCTGGCTAATTTCAGCCAAATTAAATTATCGATTTCAAGGAAAGAAAAAAAAAAAGTGTGGTTCCAAAATCTTGCCCATATAGTTACCCAAATCTAATATATCAGCATTCATCCAAAGTAGATAAGTTTTAGCTCAGTTTTAGATTAATTTCCTCAACTTCAGCTGTCTTTCATCCAATGTATAGAAAGCAAAATATACATGCAAGAAATCATTATTTCCTTTTACAGCTGAGGGGTTTAGATGATATATTTGTTTGTTTCTCCCCCCAGGTAAGCTAGGATTTCAGTATGTTCTGTAGACATTTTAAGAGTTTTTTTTTCCTGAAAATATCTGCCTTGAAAGCATCAATTAAGATGATGTCAAACTGCTTTGGCCTCCAACTTTCAGTTACTAGCAGGGGAACCAACAACACATTCTCAGTAACTTCACCAGTTGAAAAAGAAACGAAAATATAGTATTGAAGTGTAGCATTACAAAATAGAGCATAGACTACATTAATGTTGAAGAAGCTCTATTTTCAACTTGTTTCAGTTGCAGTTTACATCTGTATACATACACAAGATGGAAATCTTAAAAACCGTCCAAGTCATCCAGTTACATACAAAACAGCAGTCTAAAGAATAAGCCATATAGCCTCTATCTTACAACTTAGCAACTGTTACCAAGATCTGCATTTCCGAAAAAAATTGAAGCCTACAGCTTGTCACTCAAGACAACTATTTCTCCAAAGCTAAGCCCTCTTCAAACACTTAACAAAAAAGTCAGATAGACTCTTTAACAAAGTATTTCCTTATTATTAGCGTAAGAGGTAGATGACGTTCCTTCAGACAACCTATTTTTTCAGCAGTTTGGATTTTTTTTTTTAATCTGTGATGGAACGAATCAGTGACTCTCCAATTATTTTTTTTTTTTTTTCCTCTCAGGGGAGTCACTGATGGCTAATTTTTAAAGAATCACATCACACAGATTTTTTGTGTTAGTGAAACATCCATTAAAAGAGAAACATATCACATCACAAGGTAATGTGCAAGAACTCAGATCATTATTCGTTACTGACAATAACCAGAAAGCAAGCTGAAGTATTTTCACTTAAAACAGAAAAGCATTGCAGTGTTGTACAAAAAACTAATGTATTTCTTTGATCTTATGCAGAATTAGTAGCAGCCTCTGAAGTTCATGCATAATTTGACTAATGTCATAAAAGCGAAAGAAAAAAGAAAGCAATTTGTGGAAATACTACTCTTATGAAGAATAGTGGTATACATAGACTCATCCCACTCAGTGTCTTTTTTTTTCCCTGGTCTACTTATGACTTGCTACAGTTTCCAAGAACTCCCAAGCTGAACAGTGTGAACAGCTAGGCTCCCGCAACGGCATGATACAATCATGCTTTTGTTCTCTATTTTTTCCTACTGTTCTTTAAACAGTTATTTGATAAGGTTTGCTTCTAATTGGATTATAAATTATTCATGGCATGGACTGTATCTCCTACTTGTTCGTTAGGTACCTGGCACTACATAGTCGTGCTGCTACAGAAGTTCCCAATCTCAGCAGGGGTAACGCAAATAAAAAATAAGCACAGTGCTAGGCAGTACAACACGTTCAGATGAAGTGATTAACATCAAGGTGATCCAAGTTGCTGTTTCAGAGCACAATTAAAATCCACAAAAAGGAAGTAAGGTGGATTTAAAGAACCTGTTTATTTTCCTTTCACACAGTTTGAACTCACAACCTTCCCTTCCATACTTCTAAGTTTTACTCTGCCACTATTAAGCATCAAACTTTTGTCCACTCCATTATACGAAAAGTGTTAGTATATCCAGATCTATCCAGGATGTCTTTCAAAACAAAAAACAAACAGGAACAACAACCAAAAAAACCCAACAACAACCCACCAGAAGTTTCTCCCCCTTGCAGAATGAGCCTATCCTAATCCCACAACCCTGCTTCCCTACCAGGGCACATGACAGAAACTGGGAGGGACAAGAGAGCATCCTTGGCTGGTAAGAAGTTTTAGTTGTGATAAGAATGCCAGGCTGGCACTGAAAGGCAAAATTTCAGATGTACTTTTTAAGTGCAATTTTTCTTTAATTTTATTTTCTTTTTTTCTTTTAATTGCATTCTTTTGAAGCAAGTATTTTTAAACATTTTTAATAGTAGTTTTGGTCTTAAGTGAAAAAAATAAACAGTGGGGCATTCACTATTAGTAGATTTGTGGCTACAACCAACCTAGTTAAGTAGCTAATAACAGTAAGTAAATACACAAACAGTTATAAAAACTATTAGATATCAGTTAATGAGAAACTTACTAAGCTTGACATTGACATTGACATTGCCACAAAGCACAGGGCACTTTGAGTTTTCCAAAATGCTGGGAACTGGCAATAAATACTGTCCCTACCCTCAGGCCACCAGCTTTTGGCAAGAGGCCTGATCAGACCACATAAAATCCTTATCCATGTGCTACTAATTTCCAGGTGTAAGTATTTTTCTCCTCTTCCCCTGCCCCAGGTGAGTTCTTCCTTTCCACTCCCCTCTCCAGCATTCAGTTAAAGAAGCTGAAGTACTCCACTGATAAAGCTCATTATTGTGGTCATGGTGAAACTGCACTTTCAGAAGTCAGAGAGCCTGTTCACTGAAAAGTATTTACATAGATTAATCTGATACGCAGTTGCTGCATGGATCAAGGGCTAAAGTCTGCAATCATTACCACCACTCTCAGAGAAGCATCTTCAGCCTAATAGCCTGAAATTAGAGCAAAAGGATTGGACTGTTTCCCAATAGCTGAAAGCCACTTACACAGAGGTCAAAAGTAGGTAATACTAACTTATGACTTTTTTCTTTTTCCCCCTTCCTCTTTTTAACATCTTTATCAGTGACCTAGAGATACAATGCACCCTTATCAAGTTTGCAGGTAACACCAGGTTGGGGTGGGGAAGGCAAATCCCACCTGGGAGTCAGGGCTGCCATTCACAGAGACCAAGACAGGCTGGAGGAACAGGCCAACGGAGACTTCATGAAGTTCAGCGGGGCCAAATGCAAAGTCCATAACCCCTGGTGGCAGTACAGGCTGGGGAGCAGATCTGCAGGGAAGGTGCTGGGACTCTGGTGCACAGGGAGCTGTGCACATGCCAGCAGCGCCCAGGCAGCAGGACCACAGGCCATCCTTCAAGGGACAGGATTATCCCTCTGTTCTTAGCACTCAGGAGACCACATCTAGATACTTGCATCCAGTTCTGGACCTCCCAGTACAGGAAAAGGTGTGAGTCCAGCAGGATGGGGGGGCCAAGCTGGTCGTGTTTGGAGCAGCTGCTTCACGAGGAGAGGCTGAGGGATGGGGCTGGCTCAGCCTAGGGGGAGAGGGCTCCGGTACCTGCAGGGAGGTGGTCAAGAAGAGGGAGCCAGAGAGACAAGGGGCATCGGCTGGATCCAGAAAGAGGGGGTCAGAAGGTACACAAGGAGAAGGCTTTCCCCTGAGGCCAGTGGGGCAGAGGTGCAGGCTACCCCGGGGCACTGTGCCAAGCTCTGTCTGGGGGTTTCCAGCAGGTCCTGATTTTGGTGCTGAGACTGCTGCAGCACAGCCAGACTGGGGACCTCCTCAGACCTCCAGATCAAGTTATCCTGTGATCCCACTAAAATCGGTATAGATTGTACACATTTACCTAAATTTTACAGTGCAGGTAAACTGACCTGTTTCTCCCCATCAACAACAAGGACACAACTCAAATTCTAGCCCAAGACTGTGGCTGTCTAAAATAATATTCCAAATGAGACCTATGAGTTGCTAAAGGTTTTTCCCAGCCTTCAGAAATATTTCAAAGTATTTTCTATATTGAATAAACTACTTCAGCTATGCAAGCACTGCCAGCTCATTTCTGACAGGAAGTTAAGAGCTATCTACTTATTGCCTTAGCATAGAAAAATTCAAGAAGAACAATTAAGATAATTGGACCCTGGTGAAACATGATGAAGATCCAGTGTCATGTGTGAATTCATTATTTCTGCCCATTTCACACTTACATCTACTTATCTTGGTAAGGACTGATCAACCAGCTTACCCAGGGCTGCATTTGATTTCAGAAGAAATTTATTTTAAGATATATGTATTTCTGCAGCCCTCAAACTACCTCTAGGAAACATGGGCTGTGTTGTAGCAAATTTTCTGAGGTGAAAATTTGTTGTTGTAAATTAGTCATCACATCTCTCTGTACAAACAGTGAAAGAACCACCAGAACAGAAAACACATATCAGTTATTTTCCTTTAGCAATTTTATCACAGCATTCAAAATTGATATTGTAAACCTAAACATTACCATTTCTTGTGTGGCATCTATTTTCCTCTTGAAACTTTTATGTGATTACCTGGCCTGTGGATCCTGACACAACCAGTGCTGGTGAAGTTTCCAAAATACATGAAGCTCAGATCTTACACCTTTTGCTTAATTCCACTACCAAAGTATATACGTGTTTTAGACCAGATTTGTACTTCAGCTTTCCAGTTCACATAAACATATCTGCAAAAAAGTAATACAACACTTGCCTTCATGCCCCACAGACGAAATGTACCTATCAGTATCTATAATGTCCTTCATTCAAGCTGAAGTTAATCATGACAGCTTGGAAATACCACCTTTATACTGAAAAGTATATATATGCAGTGAATGTTTTTGTGAAAGAATACAATTTAAAAACCTCCTTAAAAATCTATACAAATCTGCTTTTATGTACTAGAAGTAATTTAACCCTTAGGTAGCATCTCTTCCAGTGCTATGCATAGCATACTAATGCTTTACACAATATTTCTCTTATATATCCAAATGTTCCTCAGCAAGAAGCCTTTATAAATGAGATGATAGCAAATTATAGTACTGTTAATATTTCATAAGCTCTACATGGATTTAAGAAGAGCTGTCACAGGCTTATGGAGAATGTTTGTGCTTATGCTTTCATGACAGGCAGAAGAAATTACAGGCTCAGTTGTACAAGGAAATGAATGGAAAACCATAAAACGTATATGCAATTAAAACAGCCAAGATGAATAATACTAGTGGTTTGTTCCAATCATCTCCTGGCAGTAGAGGATACAGAAGAAACAGAATTCAATTAAAAGCCATGGAGATATTTTCCTCAATGGAAAGGCTGAAAAATTAGCTCTACTCATTTGTCGATGGACAAAAAGTGAACCACACAAAAGTAAAGGCATACAGAAAGTAAGGGCTCCTCCTGAACATCTTTGTAAAAGTGAAAAGGAGGCAATGAAACACACAAACATTAGGTTTGTAACTGAGAAGACAAACACTCAGTAATCATTGCCAGAAGATACAGACAATGACAACTGAAAGGGATACTGAAGGATTTGAGAGAGCAGATGGTCATAGTGGCCCAAATTTCATACTGTACTTCCTAAGCCGTTAACAAAAAGTGCTTCAAATGCCTTACAGCTTTCACAGCACAAATGGAGCATAATTTCAGTTTGCACCACCTGCAACACAGATAATGGCATGATGACTTTCATGCAGTGTAGTTTATCAGGAGAAGACACCTTCCACCCCGTCCACCCAGTGAAGGCTTATTCCCACAATGGGCAAAAGTGTTAGCTTTGCAATGCCATCTAAACTTACCAGCTTGTCAGCATATATGGTGACTCACACAAATACACAAGGTATTAAAAAAAAAAATACAGAAGGTGGGCTTCTCCTCCATAACACCATGCAGTCAAACAACTATGAAATTTCTGTCCCTTCCTAAGCAGGAACAGGGAAGCCAGCTATAGAGTTAACAGACCTGCAAGCTTGCAGAAAGGAAAGACAGTGGACGGGACTTGTTTTCCAGCACATACTACTCCTTTCTTTCCATTCCCTTGCTTTTTTCAGGCACGTATGTAAAACCACCCAAGTTTCCCAGATCAGCTCTGTTGATTCCATACTTTAATTCAAGTTCCCCAAAGGAGATCAGTCAAAGTATTACTTAAAACTACAATACAGAAGAGATAAAGTCTTTGATCTCCCTCACACTGTTTTGGATAGTTCAGCCTAACTATCCAAAACAATCTAGGGAGTTTGCTGCAGCTATTTCTAAGAAATACTTCAAAGATATGCCCAATTAAGTAGCAAAAGTGAAAAAAAACATCCAAATTGTCATAATAGTTTCTAAAAAATAATACCTCTGTCAAGTCACCAAGCTACAAAGTGGTAGAGTAGAGCTGGTGGAAAAGTTCTCTGTTGAAAATCCACCTGTCCATGTTTAAAAAAAACAGACTGTCCATGTTTAAAAAAAACAGCTCCCCCTCACTCCACCAAAACCAACCAACCAAAAAACCCAAAACCACATCAGCTTCACTTGCTATGGATAGAAAGCAGAATTTGATGAGTCCCTTCCAGGCAGTCTGATGAGTGAGGAGAAGAGCAGGCAGGGACTGATTGAGCTTCCCCAGCAGCCTGCTCGACAGATCCTGTCAATTTTCATTTCTGGTTTACTGCCTGCCCATGAGCAAATTTTTTAAATTCTGAAGAATCTATTTTTGGGTGAAGCTTTTTTGGAAAATAAATAGTTCTTTTGTCTCACATATCTTCCCTAAATCTCAAATTTTTCCACAAGAGATGTTCTCCATCCAGCTCTGGGCTTGATCCCTTTTCCAAGTCTACCCTTCTCCAGCTACCAAGTGCCCTAATCTCCAATGGGAACAGCTGCGGTTATCCTGATATAAAGGCTTTAGGAAATCTCCAGCCACATCTATAGTTATGTTACCATTGAGGTATACGTAAACTATACTATTTTGCAATCTTTTCTGGCGCACAGACACATAGAATTACAGACTACAAGACCTTCTGTATGTCAGGGTAGCATGTGAATGGCATATCCAGGCCTGTGGTGCCTCTAAAAAGATAACACCACCACCAAGTGCGAGATGCTACAGTAACAGAGGAGGATTAGCATATATGCAGATCCTCACCCTGTCCTGTGGCACCACTAACAAGACAGCAACACAAGAAAGGGCAGGCAGGCACTAGACATAACAGAAGGGGAGTGCTAGCTTAACAGAATTTACCAGTCAACAGAATTGAGGCCAGTGGGGAAAGAGAACCAATGCTGAGATGCTTAACTGGGAAGTGATGAGGATGGTAAATGGAAAGAACTTGGAAAGGGAAAAAAGGAAGGGAATACAAGGGGAAACAAATCAGGTGTTTGAGGGCACATTATTAACGCATCTTGGGACAGGACAATAAACCTGTTGATGCCCTGGTCATATCTGCATCTGACTTACATAGTAAGGGGGATCCTGGGTGCTCTCCCTCCTGCCAGTGAGAGAACAGCTAGAGGGAACCTCCTGATGTCCTAACAACTTACAAGACAGAGCAGACCTTTACCCATGCTTCTAGCTCATTAACTGAGCATTTGGGTAATTCTAATGTAAATCTATTTAAGACAGGTAGGAATTCTGTTCGTGCCATTCTGAAACAATTCCAGCATCTATCTTCATGACCCTTTTTTTGATTATTCCTTTCTCAAAACCAGATTTCTCCTAGCACAAGCCAGGCAACAATTATTCCAGTTCTCAGAAGATACCGAACACAAAAAATGACTGCTAGATGAAAGTCTAAAAGGCTTATCTACTACAGCTTTCCATCCCTAACAAAAGTTTAGGAACACTACAAGCAAACAGAAATACTTCCTATGAGTAACAGGAGTGTTCAGAGCTTGAGAGTCAGGGACTTTCAGAGCCAGATGGGATGCTTGTATGATTAATAATCCCCAGTAGAGTTTTCTTCCATGAAATTACGCAACTGTTTTCTGAACCTGTGTAAATTTTTCTATATTCACAACATCCTGCAGAAAGGGCTCTACAGTTCTACAACATAATGTGTAAACAACAGGTTTGTTCTGATTTTGTCACCTAGTAGTTTCATTTGATGTGCCCTATATTCAACAAACAGGAATATTTCTGAGAATAGGCTTAAATAACACCACTAAATACAGCATAAAAATCGATGTCATATTTATTACCTCTTTCTCCCAATTACATTACTTTCCTCGAAAACACTGAATCTA